TTCTTCCTCTTCTTCTCCCTGGAGCATGCCTGCACATATCTTTGCTTTTCTTTCTCCTAAACTCCAAAGTTCCCAAGAGACTTACAACCAGGGGAGCAGCTCGTCCTGGGCTAACACCCCGAACCTGTCTCCAAAGAAATTACTTTGTCTGTGTAGCTTGTTTCCTGACTCCACGCAGCTCAGCTGGCTCACTTCTGCCGCTGTGACTTTCCTTCCTTTTCCTTTTCCTTTCTTGGGCCACGGCAGCTCCGCCCAGGCTCACTCCTGTTGTTATGATCTTGCCTCTTCTATCTTAAGCCCTTCCTTTGTTTTACTGTCCCCAGCTTTAGTAAGTGTACTCTCAAAATCACCTGGGCTTGTGTTGTAAAATCTTCCCTGCACGAAGTCAAGAACAGAGAGCTGACATCACTGCCAGCAGTCGTATTTCTCCGACTGAACCCTGACTGGTGCACGTGCTCACTATGTGCCAGACACCGACACAAGCGACTGCTTACCATTCATTTAACTGCACAGTGATTCTACGAGGCAGGTATTACCAGGCACTGAGAGGATAAGAAACTTGCCTGAGATTATGCAGCTGCTAAGTGGCTAATAAGATAACCATGTTATATTATTAGGTGGTAATTATTAGGTGCAAATTCCAAAGCAATATATTTAAAGTGATTCAACTTTTGTTAACAGAACAAGAATAAAATGTATATGCATATGTATATGCATAGAAAAATATGTATATGCATAGAAAAAATCTGAGAAATATGTAGTTGAAGGCTAGAATTCTGAAGCACTTAGGCTTTTTGTTTGTTATATTTGAAAATTTAAAATGAGCCCAAACCGTGTGGCTCTGTTGGTTGGCACTGTCCCACAGAGCAAAAAGTCACCAGTTGGATTCCCTGTCAGGGCACATACTTGAGTTGTGGGTTTGCTCCCTGGTCGGGGTGTGGGCGAGAGGGACCAACCTTCATCGGCTGATTGATGTCTCTCACATTGACATTTTTCTCCCTTTCATTCCCCCTCCCTTTCCCTCTCTCTAAAAAAAAATACATAAAATCTTTTAAAAAATAAAATTCATAATGAACAGTTAAAATTACAATTTTATAAGCCAGAATTTCAGGGAAATAATAAAAGATAGGCACAAAAATTAGGCTATGAGGGACTTCCGCCAAGATGGAGGCATAGGTGGATGTGCCGTGCCTTCTCCCACAACCAAGATTAGAGAAAACTAAATATTAGCAACAGAAAACACAGCCAGAACACGGAAAATTGAACTTTTCGGAAGTCCGTTAACAACAAATTCTTCAGCCTGACCAGTAAGGGGAGAAACCAGCGGCTGGCGGAGCAGGGTTGCACAGGAGGACTCGGCCAGACACACTCAGGCCCGCGGAATCCAGGCGCAGGGTCAGACCTAGTGAGCGACCCAGCGAGCAACCAGGCCAGCGACCTCGGGGGAGACAGCCGGGCCCGGGGCTGCGTGTTGACTGAGGTCGCGCATTTGTGCGCGGGTGGACAGGCGAGGGAGTGGGCGGTTGGACCGGGCCGGCAGGTCCCCACGGCAAGCGGCAGTGGAGGGCGCCGCCATTTCCCTGCTCTGACCCCACCTCCACATACAGCGTCATAACCCAGTGACTCTGAGTGGCCCGGCCCAGGTGAACCACCTAAGGCACTGCTCCTCCGCACCCAGCTGTGAGAAGCGGCAGAGGGGGGTCGCCATTTCCCCGCTCTGGCCACGCCCCCACATATAGCGTCACAACCCAGCGACCTGGGAATCCAAGCCGCCGCTTCTCACACTTAAAGGGCCCGAACAGACCAAGAATGGCGCAGGAGGATCTCAGAGCCCCAGAAATAAATCTAAGCGATGAAGAAATAGCAAAACTCACAGACGCACAGTTTAAAAAATTGGTGATCAAGATCCTCACAGAACTGGTTGATTATACGGACAAATTAGACAAATATATGAAGGCGAAACTAATTGAAATGAATGGAATTGCACAGGACACCAATAGCAATGAAAAGGAAACTGGGACTCGAGTCAATGGAGTGGACCAGAAGAAAGCAAATAATGGCCAAACAGAAAAGAGTCAAGAAGCAAGAATTCAAAGAAATGAGGAGAGTCTTAGGAACCTCCAGGACATCTTTAAACGCTCCAACATCCGAATTATAGGGGTACCAGAAGGGGGAAAGGCACAGCCACACGTGGAAAACTTATTTGAACAAATAATAAAGGAGAATTTCCCCAATCTGGCAAAGGAAATAGACTTCCAGGAAATCCAGGAAGCTCAGAGAGTACCAAAGAAGTTGGACCCAAGAAGGAACACACCAAGGCACATCGTAATTACATTAGCCAAAATTAAAATGAAGGAGAGAATCCTAGAAGCAGCAAGAGCTAAGGGGACAGTCACCTACAAAGGAGTCCCCATCAGACTGTCAGCGGATTTCTCAAAAGAGACCTTGCAGGCAAGAAGGGGCTGGAAAGAGGTATTCCAAGTCATGAAATCTAAAGACCTACAACCAAGATTGCTCTATCCAGCAAAGCTTTCATTTAAAATGGAAGGACAGATAAGGTGCTTCTCAGATAAGATCAAATTCAAGGAGTTCATCATCACCAAGCCCTTATTATATGGAACGTTAGGGGGACTTATCTAAGAAAAAGAAGTTAAAGAAACATGAACAGTGAAAGGACAACAAACTCAGTTGTTGACAACCACACCTAAAACGAAAGCAAACTAAAAGGACAGCTGGATCAGGAGTGGAAGCATAGAAATGAAGATCTCAAGGAGGGTTGGCAACAGGGGAGTGGGAGGAGGAGAGGGGGGGAGAAGGTACAGAAAATAGGTAGCATAGACGGTAGATAGAAAATAGATGGGGGGGCGGGAATAGCATGGGAAATGTAGAATCTAAAGGACTTGAGACACATGGTCATGAACTAAAGGGGGGGTGATGGTGGGGATGGGGGGTAGGGTGGAGGGGAATGAAGGGGGAATGGAACAACTGTAACAGCATAATCAATAAAAAAAATTTTAAAAAAAGAAAAAAAATAAAAAAAAATTAGGCTATGAGGATACATATTATGTCATTGTTTGCTATAGCAAGAAGCTGGGAAAAAACTTAAAATATCCAACAACAAAGAACTGATTAAATAAATTATGATATATAATAATATATATTAATATATATAATATAATAATATATCTAAAAAATAAAATGGCAGGTAAATAAATCATAATATTTTAAGTGAAAAATTAGCTTAAATCTAAATATGTAAATTGGGGTTACTTTTGTCTAGGTTACAAAATGATGCATGTACTAATAGTGCCCTTTTTGTGAAAAAGAATTTTCCTACATATTTCAATTTCTTATACTTTGCTTAAATATTACTTCTATGTGTATCTTCTTAGCCAATCTTCACAAAAAATGTATGGAACTGGTATTACTATTCCCACTTCAGAGAGAAGAAACCAAGCTTCAGGAAAGTTAAATATTCCTTTTCCTTGTTCAAGTCTTTGATTACATCTTTAAAAAAAAAAAAATTTCACAGTTTCCTTACAATTGATTCTCCTTAATCCTAATCGCTGAAGTTCTTAGAGGTTATAAATCTGGTGTTCCTTGTTTCTGCTGACTTTTGTTCATGGGAGCCAGTTTCCTTGTGTTATCTGATGCTTTTTGATCATCAGTGTACATAGTGGTACCTCAGTTCCTCGGTACTTGTTAATTCGTTCCCATGAGTGGCAAGCAAGTCACAATTGATGAAGCATTTTCTCTTGCCAGGCATCGTGACTCATACAAGGTCTAGCAAGTGGGACAAGTGGCAAGCATACACGAAGGGCTGAAACATTTTTTATCATTAACATGCGATGAGTACCAGGTTTGGCGAGTTCTGAAGCCGAGGAGTACTGAGGTACCCGTGTTTGATTCAACTTAACATGTGAGAATCCTTAACGTCCAAATTAAGGTTGCTTTCCTCCAGAGATAATTTGGGGACTGCCTGCTGGAAATACTTTAGCTCCTTCAAGATTCCCAGCTAAGTACTGGAGTCTATAGTAGCTCAGCTATCCTACCTTCAGGCCAACTTCCTGAGTTTCTTCTCTGAACACGGGGGTTGATGTCAATGTTATTTGCTCCTTGACTTGACTTAGGAGTTTGTTTACCATTCCTCATTTGGGTTTTACCTCATCGTATGGTTGCCCTTTGGGCTTTCTCTTGCTTTGTGAGCAATGCTTTAAATGGTGTGTTTATTGCAGTTCATTCAGGATCCACTTGTACAGTAACAGGAAGATAGCTTTCCATCCTGCCAGAAGTGACAGTGAGACACCTATTTTCCTGCTACACCTCACTGAGTGAATTCATTATTCATTTGTACATTCACTGACTGACTCACTCAAATATTCTTTCATTCACTGAATATTTCCTGAGTACCTACTGAGTGTCAGGCCCTGGGCCAGAGCTTTTACTGGAGCTGAAAGTAAGTTTCTGAGCTTCATAGTGTATGTGGATATCTGTATATCTTTTCAGTGGCTAAAACCATAGTTTTCTTAAAATGTGTATAAGTCACTCTGAGTGCCATAGAAGTAAGAAGCATCAGTTACTGGAGTTTAGGGCACCCAAGATGCCTATAAGGTAGTTGGGACTTCACTGAAGAAAATCAGCTGATAAATACAAAACACCAACTTCATTCTACTCTGCATTTTGTGCCGATCATGTTAGAGTTAGAAAAGCAAATCCCAGAGTATCCTATTCCCTAAGCAATTCAGTCAAGAAAATCGACTGGGGTACCAAGTGTCTCCCGAAACAACAAGAAATAATCCCTGCCTTATGAATCCCACACTCTAGTGTGAAAGGCAAATAAGAAAATAAATAATTAGCATGTAATGCGATAAGTGAGTATATAGGAAGTGTGTGGTTTACTTTAGTGAGGGCACAGGGGCAAATGCATTGGGGAATTCACGCTGCGGGTAACCTCAGCCAGGGTGAGCCGCGCAGGAAAGCCACATCTTTGCTCCTCTTACCTCTTCTGTTGTTCTTCCTGATATTGTTGCTTTCTTTTAGCTTCATTTTCTATGGCTTCTCTTATCCTTTCCTCTAGTTGCTTCTTTTCCGAACTACAAGCATCTATGCAACAGACTTTCTGAGCATAGTCTAATTTCTGCTGCAGATCCGAAATCTTGAATGAAAAGAGTTTGCAAATAAGACGATAAGAAGAGTATGACCTATTTTTAAAATTATATTTCACTAATCATGCTATTACAGTCATCCCCATTTTTCCCCCTTTGACCTCTTTTTTGCTTAGGGAAATACCACACAAATAGCAAACACAGTATTGCTGCCATACAAATTTGATCTAAAGTAAAGAGTGTGGCTAGATTTATTTTAACTTGAAAAATTAATTATTTAGTTTTTGCAATATGTAATACATTCACACAGCTGTACAGTGAAAACAGAGCTATATAGTGCAAAGTCCCTTTTCCACCCCTGACCTGTCTTCTGCCACCAAAGAGGGGAGCGCTGATATTAGTTTCTTACATACCCTTTCAGAGATTTATTTATGCATACTTAAACAAATGTTATTAAATAGTTCTCCCCCCACAGACACTTTTTACACCAATGATGGCATATTATACTTACATGCCTGGCTTTTTAAAATAAAAATACACTCAGAGAGTTTTCCATATTATAAGTACGCATGCAGCTGTCTTTTCCACAGCTGTATACCATTCCGCTGTAAGAATATACCATAACTTATTTAACTAGCCTCCTACTGAGGGACATTTAGGTAAATTCCAATATCTTGCTGTTATAAACAATGTCTCTGGAACAACTTACAAGGTGTGTGGATTTTCCAGGGCAAAGGTTATTATTTGTTTGATAGATAAGGCCAAAGTGTCTCCATAGTATCAAACCAACTTACACTTCTAACTGCAGTGTGTGAGGAGTCCCTGCTTCCTCCACAGTGTGACTACCTTCATGATTATCTCAAAGTCAAGGTCACCTACAAACTAAGTAGCAATTAGCAGATTGCCTAGAGTAATAGGTCCTTTAATATCCTCGTAACACCAAAAATAAGATCTATGAATTTGAAAGATATGTAACTTTATTCTAGAATTTAAAAAAAATTGCACCAGTCACAAATTTAAATGAAAAGTATCATCAAATTTTTTTGTTAGATGAATATCCTTTAAAACGATTTACTTATTTTTTATAAGCCTTTCTGTCATCTAAATTTGTGACTGGTACATAGTAAATGTTCCATAAATATTTGTTGAATGACTGGATTCCAGCAGAAGAGCTGCTCTCCCTCTATTCCGTTTACTGGCCCCACATTCCCTGCATCCAGTGAATGCCAGCAGGAGAGGTGAAGATGCAAAACGATTCAGGGCAATGGCAGAGGCCAGGTCGAGTTCCTCTGAGTTGCCTCATTTAACTCTGTGCTCAGGGTAAATACTTACTTAAAGACATTCAGTCTTAATTCCCCAGGTGAAAGTATCCCCCATTGGCTTCTCTCTCTCAAGGACATATGTCAAACTTTTGAACCCATCACCCAATTTAAGAAAGAGAACATTTCCAATACTTCTGAAGTTCACTCTGTGACCCTTGTCAATTATACCCCTTCCTGCTCCACCTGAGAAAACTAGTATCTTGAATTGTGTTAATCATTTCTTTGCTTTTTCTTTTAATAATATATATCTCTATAGGACATGGTTTTTATTTGGTACTATTTTGACCTGTATTTTAATCTTTTAAAAAGATTTTATTTATTTATTTCTAGAGAGAGGGGAAGGGAAGGAGAAAGAGAGGGAGAGAAACATCAGTGTGTGGTTGCCTTGGGGGCCACCTACTGGGGACCAGGCTTGCAACCCAGGCATGTGCCCTGACTGGGAATTGAACCTTCAACCCTCTGGTTTGCAGGCCCATGCTCAATCCACTGAGTTACACCAGCCAGGGCCTAGTTCGACCTTTATTTCAATGAAATCATACTGTGTTTTTGGTTACCTGGTTTTTATTCAGTATTATATTGAACTACAACATGTAGCTGTAATTCATTCATTTTCACTGTTGTGTGTATGCTGTTGTGTGAATATGCAATTTATTTATTCAATCTCATGTCAGTGGGTATTTGTTTTCTTTCCAATTTTCTGCTTTTTAAAACAATGTTACGATGAGAATGACTGAATTTTTGCCTCCTGATACTTAGATGCAGTGCAATAGCTTCTCTAGAGTTCATGCCTCGCGGTGGAAGTGTGGGGTTATACAGTATCTTCATCTGTAACTTCCCTAGAAGCGGATGCCTAACTGCTTTCCAAAGTGTTTGTAGGGACTCATTCTTCCAAATGCAGTCAGCATGTTGCATAAAATCCTCACTGATATTTAGTACCGTCTAAATTTAAAAAAATTTACCAATCTTTATCATTACTTTTTTATGGAGTAATAACAGACATGCAGTAAAGTATACACATCTCAAGCATCCTCAGTAAAAGTTTAGTTATATAACTGCCTCCCAGACCCAGATATAGAATACTTCTAGCAACACAAAAGATTCCCTCCTGTCCCTTCTCAGCCCTTCCAGAGACAACCACTATCCACATGTCTGTAAACACCAGAGCTTAGTTTCGTGTACTCTTAAACTTCATACAAATGACATTACGCAGTGATAGAACTCTTAGAACTCTTTTGTGCTGGCTTCCTTACCCCAACATTAGGCATCTGAGTTTAATTCAAATTACTGTCATCTACTTATCGATGTTAGCTGTATGTTTATATAGTTTGTTAAAGTGACTTGTTTGTTGTATAAAATTTGACTCAGACAAACCTGCAGATCAAAACGTGCAACTGCTATGCACTGCTGCCACCTGGTGTCGGACAGCCTGAAAGGCAGGGCAGTATTTCAAAATGGCTCATTTCACAACACAGATCCTTCCGAAAATTACAAAATAAAAATCATGTAAACACCAATCCACAAGAAAGGAGAATAAACCTTTTAAAATTTGAATGTATAAAACAAAAGTCATTTGCTCTCAGTGCTTTAACTTATTGCTTTAATGAAACACCTTTATAAGTTCATGCAATTACACACACACACACACACACACACACACACGATTTACTGGAATTGAAGGAGCAGGTGAAGGAAGTCAGAGGGAGGCAAGCTTGGGAGAGTGAAGAAGAACCCCTAGAAGTCTATCAAGTTTGCACCATACATATTTCTTAAAGTCCTTTGGGATTTCGATAGTGGCATTCAGTGTGTTACTTATTACGGGTGGGGATAATTACCCTTTTCTCTGCCTCAGCAACTTTGGATTTCTCCTGAGCCAGCTTTTCCTGCAGGTTGTTCTGTGATTTAATGCTGTGAGCCTGTGTAAGCACTTCCAGCTCCAGTTCCTTGATTTTCTGCTGACAGTGCTTCCACTCTGCTGGGGGTGAAGAGCACATCCTGGCACCGTCTACTAACTTCTGCTGGGCCTGTTTTAGTTCCATTTTGATCTACAGGTGGGGAATAAATAAGAATGATGGCACTAAGCAGGGAGTGAATGTCAGCATGAGCCAGAACAAGCAGCTTTCAGAGGAATGCCGTCCCCCAAGAGCTTATCACCTCTCTGGAGCTGCCCTGGGTTAGTAAGGTTTGCCAAGGTCTATCTCACCAGATGGCAGCTGGACAAGGCGATATTCCTGAGTTTCAGTACATGTGTGGGCTAAACATTTTCCATCTTTTTTTTCTATCACTTCAAGCTGGCTTTCATTCCCACTACTCCATGAAGGTGCCAGAGCACTGTTGCCAAAGTAACTCCCCTGGACGGTTGCCCTCTGAGGGGCATTCACTCCCTTCCTCTCAGGAAGTTCTCCTCGTGTCTCGGGGTTTGTGATACCACATTCCCCCGATCTTCACTTTCCTCTCTTCTGTTCCTTCTTGGTCTCTTTGGTAGACTGTTCTAATGCTACCCAACTTCTAAATACCACTGGATTAAACTAGGCCTTGAGAGTGGATTATTCTCTCTTGGTTCACGCCCATGATTTAAAACACCACCTCTATGCCCAGTAACCGCCAAAATGAAACTCCTGCCCACATCTCCAAAACTGTTTTTCTCTCAGTCTTCCTGACTGTAGTAAATGATGCCACCACCGACCCTCAGGCCAGTAACCTGAGAGCTGTCCTTGAGTTTTCCTTTCCCACCATGAGCCAGTTCAGCGCAAGCTGTCACTCTGCCTCCAGAGCAGGTCTTGCATCAGTCCATTTGTGCCCTTTGTGTCACTCCCCTCGTCTAGATCATCACCATCTCTAGCCCTGGCCCTGGCAATAGCTTTGACACTGGTCCTGCCATTTCCATTTTCATTCCCTTCTAATCTGTTCTCTGCACAGCAGCCAAGGTGTGCTTTTTAAAACATAAATTGAACTACTTGACACTCCTCCTTAACTCCTTCACTGGCTTCCCATCACTCTGGGAACAAATCCCAGCAGCTTGCCTGGCCTCGTATGATCTGGTCCTTGCCAACCTCTTTAAAACCATCTTGTCTTTCCCCCTCCTTCCACTGATCTCCCGTCATGCGGGCTTCTACTTAGGGTTTCGGACACACCAGACTCCACCCTTCACTCTGCTAGGAATGCTTTCTCTTTTCCCTCCTCATGGTATGGTTGGTTCCTGTCCATTCTTCAGGTCTTAGCTTAAACATCACTCTGTAAAAGAAAACCTTCTTGCTCACTTAATCTGAAGAGGTCTTCTTACTCACTCCTTACTTATTACACCACATTTATTTCCTTCATAGAACTTATCACAATTTAAATTAAACATATACTTACCTACTTGTTTACACCCTTCTTCCCCACTCTAAATACCCAGCAGGGACCATGTATTTTACTCAGTTCTCAGTATCCAAGGCCTGTCAGACTGCCTAAAGCAGATAATTAACCAATATGTACCGAGCAAATAAATGAATGAATGACATTCTAAGGAATATAAGAACCTGGTGAATGGACATACTGGGCAGGGCTCACAGACAAACATGCTCAGACAGAATTTACTTTACCTTAGGCAAAGCAGGATTTCCTGGGCTCAAAGCTTTTCAGCTGAATTAATAGGGATTATAACTATAGTTTCCTCTACCTGTGATTTCCGTGGATCAACCATTCAGGGTTTATCAAGGGAACTTAAAACTTAATAATAACTTTCTTAGTATCAGTTTCTTCATCTGTAATACAGGGACAACTACTTATCTGATAAAAGAGTTGGGAAGCTACATTAAGTAAAGCAATGAAAGTATCAAGAATAGAAACAGCATATAAGTAAATGCCTAATACAAGTTAACTGCTATTCTTCAAGAATCACTTATAGATTATCTACCATATTTGATATCTAGAACTGAGGCAGATACTACTATAACTGTGGTATATTGGTTAGGCTTCCATATCTATGAAGCAGCTGAGACTGGTATTTTCATCTCCCTGTTTTGGAGATGAAAAAGCTGAGTCTCAAATATGGTAGGCAAATAATAGAACATGGTCTGATGCTCTCGCGTCAGAAAGAACAACTTGGCCTTCCTATGAATTATACCTTGCTGCAGACATTGGATTCAACCAATAATAATGGAAACACCAATTAGGGATTAATAAGTCTAGAGATAGAATGAGGGCAGAACAACCAGGGTTTGGGCTCAGGTCACTGAAATTTAAAACGAGCTAAAATTTTAGGTAATAATTAAAAAAAAACTGTATAACTTTAAAACTTTTCATATTTACGGGTTGACAACGTACATGGCCCTTCAGCAGCAGAGAAACCACGGAGCCATGTGCCTGCCTGGCAGGGAGAAGTTAAAGGAGTAAGTTAACCAGGGAGCTCACATCGTCCACCTTCTACGGACACTGTCACGAATCGTGAGGTTGAGAAATTTTGTTTTAATCCTCACCAAGGATATGTTTATTGGTTTGAGAGAGAGAGAGAGAGAGAGACAGAGAGAGAGAGGTGAGACACAAACATCACTCACTTGCCTCCCCTACGTGCCCTAAGCGGGTGATTGAACTTGCAGCCCATGTATGTGCCCTGACTGGGAATCAAATCCACGACCTTTTGGTGTATAGGACAATGCTCCAACCAGCTGAGCCTGCTGGCCAGGGCTAAGGTTGAGAAATTTTGACTCATTTGCCTCAGGGCCAGTGGAGTGAGATTTCTCTATAAAGGATGTTGTCTACCAGACCTACCTTAATGCTTTCATCCTGAAGTAAGCTGTTATGTTGCTTCAAGTCCGAGTTCTTTGCCCGCTCATACCGAAGCTCTTTTTCAGCTGAGTTGCAGAGAGTCTGGAGTCGGTGCAAATTCTGGCGAAGTTGTTGTATTTCCTCTTGTTGCTGGTATTTCAGTTTTTCTCCAGGTGTTAGATTCTAAAACAAACATTTTAAAAGAGAAATGTGCACAGTTTGGGAGAATATTGGTGAGACCTGGGTTCCGGCTGTCAGAACCAGGATTATCAGCATGTGATTATTCAGGTGTTTTTGGAGTTGGCTTATCTACAACAAGTCACTCTTTTATACTTATAGCCAGTTAGTGCATGTTCTTATAATTTAACTCCCATTGCACTAGAGTAAAAAGATAAAAGAAATTATGTAAACAGTGGCAGTTAAATATAGACAATTAACTTTCTTATTTTTCACATCAGTGAAGGGGAACAGAGCATGGAAAATTTTAGGGTAAAAGTCAGGCCTCTTAGTGCAACACAACTACTGTGACCAAAGGAGACGCCACGAGGGTTTTCTCGGAGGGAGGCACGCACAGGCGTGCTGCGTGGATGACAAACCCAACCCCGTCCAGTTCAGCAGATGAGATACACCGTGCATCTCCTCAGGCAAGGGAAACGAAGGAAAAAATAAGCAAACAGGACTACATCAAACTAAAAGGTTTTAGTACAGCAGAGGAAACCATTGACAAAATGAAAAGACAACCTACTAAATAGGAGAACATATTTGTCAATGAAACATCTGATAAGGGGTTAATACCCAAAATTTATAAAGAACTCATACAACTTAACACCAAAAAAAAAAACAAACAAAAACCCACCCAATTAAAAACTGGGTGAAGGACCTGAATAGACTCTTTTCCAAAGAGGACATACAGACATATAAAAAAATGCTCAATTCCACTAATCATTAGAGAAATTCAAATTAAACCACAATCAGATGTCATCTCACATCTCGCAGAATGGCCATCATCAATAAATCAAGGAACAAGTGTGGGTGAAGATGTGGGGAAAAGGGAACTCTCATGCGCTGTTGGTGGGAATGCGGACTGGTGCAGCCGCTCTGGAAAGCAGAATGGAGGCTCCTCAAGTCACCAAAAATGTGACTGCTTACAACCCAGCAATTCCACTTCTGGAATTATATGTATAACCTCTCTAAAGCCTCAGTTCCCTCGACTATAAAGTGGAAACAATAACATTCCTGCCTCATTGTATTCCTTAATATACGAGTCACATACAGGTTATTTAATATAGGGTTTAGAACAAAGTAAATATTCAATGATGTTATTTTTAAAACCATGAAACTAGGTTTTAAACTTATAAAATTAAGACATTCATGGTGGTTCCAACTTCTTTCAAGAATATTGGGAAAGTAATATCTAGAATTCAGCTATCACAGCCTTACCCGGAATGATACTAAACAGCAGAAACTAAGCCCCAGAGGCCATCAGCAGCCACAAATACGTATGGACAACAGAGCTCACATACTCAGAAAAAGAGGCTCTCACAGTTCTTTTTCCATGGATTTTGCGTACATAAGCATTCTTTAAAGTCTGGAATCTGGTCTCAGCCTACAGTTGCTTAAATTTGTCCCCTGTGAGATTAAGAAGACACATCCCACAAGGACGGCATCCAGATACTGGACACCGTAATCTGACAACAGGGATTTGAAACTGGAAAAAGCACGGGAGTTCGGGCTACCTGTCACTAGCAAACCCAATAAGCAATGACAACAATCAAATCTTTATGGGTGCTTTATTCAGATGGCAGGCAGTCTGAGAAGATGGCGGGTTCATCCCCTAACAGACCATCTTCCCCTTTCTTTCCAGGCCAAGGTTTTTATAGCAGGGAATAAACAAGGTGCAGTGAGGGGTTTTGAAATTCAGGGAGGGTCGGGTAGAAGAAACAGCAACATTCCTGTCCAGTTAGCTGTTCATTCCTGGCAGTTAGCTGTTCACAGGGGCAGGTGGTCATTTGCCCCTCCCTGAAACACAATGGCCTGGATGCCTTCGCTTGTCCCCAGGAGGTCATCTTTAGCAGTGCCCGAGGAGGCCAGCTGTTTTCCCAGGAGCCAGGACAGGCCTTATCAGTAGTTTCTGAAATAAAAGCTTTAACACATACATTACTTGCAAGGCTTATAACCTTTTACTTTAAACTAAAATTTTCCAACTTTTGAGTTCCCTATCAGTTTTAGACCACAAAACACACACACAAGAACTAAAAAGAACAATCTATAGACGTCAGTAGGTCAAAGAACCCTATAAACAGAACGGGGTTCTGAAATGATCACTGTACAGCTCACTGCCAAAAAAAAATCTGTCTAAAATGTATTTTCTTCCTTGACTGTTTAAAGATATAACCGAAACAGTGTGCATGACCCTGCTTCGGAAATGCAAAGTTCAAGATACAAACATGTCATTTCTTTTCCACGAGGCCCACTCCCATCTTGTTTACTGCCGCGTGCGCCTTAACACAGGCCAGCACAGCACAGAAACCCAGTTAAAAGTTGAATCAGTAAGAGCAACAACCCCGAGACATTATTATGGAAGGTAATCACTGAAATGCGCAAGAATTCAGGGTGACCTTAAGAGGCCATGTGGTAGATAGGACTGTTTCCCCTTTCACAGAGTGGCTATTTTCCAATATTTCTCACAGAATTTTTATATATATAATAGTTTGTCCCCTCCTTCCTGGGTATTGAAATAATTCTTCAAACAATGGAAAAGGGAACATTAAAGAAAATTGATAAATTAACCAGGGTGCTACTTCTCATACTCTATACCCCATTATTCTAAATGAATGTTGGTCCTTTTGAGCTCACAAGCAAAGATTTTATAATCTTTGTGACCACAGTGTTCGTCCTCGGCCCAAGCTTCCTACACCGGTCCCTCACCCAATACAGGGCCTGTCTGGGAGATGTACAATTAACCCCTTTTTGAATATTTGACGTCATGCTTCCTTTTGGTCTTCTGAACAAATCCAGTAACGACCTCCTCTTTCTAATACATGTGAGTCTCCTTTCAGGTATATACAGGGGTGGGCAAAAGTAGGTTTACAACTGTGCGTATATGAGACACAAAAGCTAATAAAGCTATTGTAATCGGCATAGCCTGCATGACTTTGGAATCAAACAACTGTAAACCTCCTTTTGCCCACCCCTGTGTTTTCCTTGTTTACTGTGATCTGCCGAGTTTTGAAACTCAATGTCTGAATTTCTTTTCAATTAAATATTGACTTCCTTTATTGCTACTTTTTAAAAAAAATATTTATTTAGTTTTTGAGAGAGGGGAAGGGAACGAGAAAGAGTGGGAGAGAAATATCAATGTATGGTTGCCTCTCATGCGTCCCCTGCTGGGAACTGGCCTGCAACCCAGGCATGTGCCCTGACTGGGAATCGAACCGCAATACTCTGGTTCACAGGCCCGTGCTCAATCCACTGAGCTACATCAGCTAGGGCTTATTGCTACTTTTTTTTCTAAATGTATGTGTGAATCCCTTTTCAAATATGTATTATCAGTCTTTTGAATTTGGTTTACTTTATTTATGAGTACAAAGGCCTCTTTTTGTCGATCTCAAAATAGTCACTAGAAAGGCACGGGTAGAGAAATCTTACTTTGTGCAAGAAGGATCCTGTAACATTGGGGTATAAAAGCTGAAGTGTAGCTCATAGTCACTCCCTTCATTTTTCCTGGAGGCAGTAAATAGCAAAATCTCTGGTAAATAGCAAAAGCCACATTTAAAACAATTCCCTGTCTGTGGTCTCTTCTCTCCAAAGCAAAGTATTTTGTATACCTAAGCTAGTCACCAGAAGTAGAAAATGTGGCACAAATCCTCCCATTCCCTATCCTATCTGCCAAGGCCTACGGCAACAATTAATCAGCATTTTCTTCCCAAGCAACCTCAATATAGCCTAAGAACCCTTCATAATAAAATGCATCAGCTGATGGATGCAGCAGTTCAGATTTTGGTTGCTATTTTATACCATTCAGTCTGTGGTTATGATATTGTTCAACAAATAGATGTTTAATGTTGATATAAAATTATGTTTCTACCCACAGCTGATGAGAGGAAACGGCCTGGGCAGAGCGTGTGTTTGCAGCACCTACCTCAGTGCTCCCAGAGCTCTGAGACTGCAGGAGGTTCTGATTTACATGGCTCAGTTCTCTGCTAAGCCTCACAACTTTCTTAGGCTCCAAGGTCAATTGCTGTTCTTCACTTTTCATATCCTGGTTCTGTTGCAAGTCTTCCTCTTTCTGCCTCTCTCTTGGAAAAGTGCCTTCCTCTCCTGTCTCCTCTGGAATTTCCTCCTGCTTATTCTCTTCTAGTTCAGGACTTGATGAAAATATAACAGGGAAAAACTATCAAAATGCTCATTCTACTAACAGAATCTGGAGAGGAAAAATAATCTACTGGTCAAGAAAATACTGCAAGCAAGATTTTCAGCTCTAATTCTATGGCACATCAATTATCTTATTCTTTTAATTTAACCTTAAAAACAAATAAGTGAAGGGATTAAGCAAAAAACAAAAACAAAAAACTCACAGACGTAGACAAGAGTGTGGTGATTACCAGAGGCAAAGTGGGGGGGGGGAGGTAGAAGAGGGTAAAGGGGGGATAATGGTGATGGAAGGAGACTTGACTTGGGGTGGTGAACACACACTACAATATACAGATGATGTATTACAGAACTGTACGTCTGAAACTTATATAATTTTATTAACCAATGTCACCTCAATAAATTCAATAAAAAAAAATGAGTCAACCCAGAATCCTACACCCAGTCAGGCATATCCTTCAAGAATAAAGCAGGAATCAAGACATTATCACATGAATGTAAACCAAGAGAATTAATTTGTCACCAGCAGACCTACTGTGAAAGAATGGGGAAAAGAAATTCTCTGTACGCAAAGGAAATAGTAAAAAGAGGAGTCATGGCTCATCAGGAAGTAAGAAAGTACCAAAAGAGTAAAAATGTGGATATATACAATACACTGCCTTTTTCATTTAAGATTTCTCAATTCTATATGATGGTTGAAGCAAAACTTATAACAATGTCTCATGTGGTTCTAATGTATGTAGAGAAAAATTTTAAGACAATTGTATTATAAATGGGGGAGAAAAAGGGATAGAAAGGGAGGTAAGGTTTCT